TTAAAGCAAAATGGAATAAAACCAAGCTAAACAAAACAGCAAACATTACACAGAACTTCAAAATAAGATAATAGGAAATTAACAATGGCTGCCATAATGTCTCTTGTTATCTTCAACAATAGCTGTGCAGACTATTAGCGCTAGGCATGTAAAATTAACCAATCAGTACAAGGACTAAGATGCTTCTTTATTTCCATTGTTATCTTTTCAGACATTTCAGGTGTGAGCTCTAATTTCTATTATGTCTGGGTCTCCTGAACTTGTTCTGCATGGGCTGGAGGTCTGAGATTGCATTTTGCTCCTTTGTCTTGATATTTTCTTGTGTTTATCCAAATCAGCCCATTACTGCATCCCAGGTTGTTCCTACATTTGCTGCCAGTCCTTCAGTGCAGCGGACTGGACTAGGTACCTGGGTTCCTCCGATCTGGGGTTCCTGGAGTGGCAGAAAGGCACAGGGCTGTGCTTTACAGATGCTCCTCTGATGGCAGGGCCTCAGGGCATGGCTTCTTCCTATGAAGTCCATTTGTTCACAGGTTTGGTTTAGCTCTGATATTTCTTTGCTGATTTTCTATCTAGTTGATCTGTCTCTCTGTGACCATGGGAGATTGAGGTCTCCTGTTACAACTGTGTTATTACGCATTTGATTTTCCATGTCTATCAATAACGGTCTTATATAATTGGGCGCTCTCATATTAAGTGCATATACATTTATGATTGTCAAGGCATTTTCTCACTGATTCCAGCTTTTTCACTGACTCCAGTCAATCTTGTTATCCTTTGCTTCGTTTTGTAGCTGTTGCATTGATTTCTCTTGCAATTTTTAAGGTATTTCTTAACATGATCACTAGCTGCAATTATGACTTCAGGATCTGAAATTCTATCCTTCCATTCATTCAGTCTGTTTCACTGGAGATTTTAATCTCCTGGATTTTTTTTTTTTTTGTGTGTGTGTCTGTTTCATGGATTCCACTACTTTCCTTTGTTGGCCATTTTTTTGTCTCCTTCTTTTTCTGAGCTCATAATCTTTTATTTGTGTCTTCTCTAATATCTTTGATATTAAGCATCATTTCTTTCTGTACCTGAGATCGTTTTCCCTCTATGGCCTTTTCCACTTGTTTTTTCACTCCTGTTGTTATTTCAAAAATTCCAGTGTCTGACTTCTAACTTCATCCATCTCATTGAGTTTCATGCCTGGGTGGGCCGGGGATCTGGGACTGCACCCTGCCTCTGTCTTGCCATTCTCCACCATCTCTTTTTTGTTTTGTCTTCTGTGTTGATGCCCACCAGCCTCCCATGAAATCTAGCTCTACCACTAGCACTAAGGTCTCTCTCAAGGAAGAAAGGAGATATCTTTTCTTCAGGGATGTCCTTCACATGTAGTTGATTCTTAGCTTCCTCAAGAACCTATCTTGTTCTGGTGTTCTGTGATAATGTCCGTGTTGTATCCCAGAGATGTGCTGGGTATGGAGCTGATCTTGGCCTCTGGATGTGGGGGATGGGACTGGTCTTCTGTCAGTGGAGCTCTCCAGGTGCAACTGCTGTCTCCTCACTGCTGCTTCAGATGTTTCCATGTTATTGGCCTTGCTAATTACTTTACCTCTAGAGGTGTATGTGCATCTATGTGCCAGGCTGTTGTCCTGGGCCTTGGGGTTCTCCTTGGTCTTAGATTGTTTTAGCCAGCTCCTCTCTCCTGGATACAATGGAGGAGGTCTGGATTGCAAATGCACTGTCTTCCAGCTGGCCCTGTGTCCGTGTCCAGGATGCAGTGGAAGGCACAGAGTGCAGACACAGTCTTTCAGCCAGGCCACCCTTTAGGATGTCTGTTACAACGAATTTGAGATGTAAATCAGTCACAGGGTAGTTTTTGGGCCTCTTCTCCACTGATGACTACCATCACCATTGTCCACCCTCATCTTCAGGGACCTCCGAAAGGGAAGGCCCCATATGGACCACCAAGATGTTAGCACTCAGCAGAGGGTTCTTTTGGTTCACTCACATACAAATCACCCATCAGCAAAGTGTATCTCCTTTAGCATGAACAGCTCTGAACTTTGAATGCTGTGCTGATTAGCTCTCAGGGTTAGTGACCCTCCTTGTCACTCAGGGCATCAGCCACTGACAGGCCTTGAGAACTCTTTGACCATCAAGGATAGCAGATTGTAGCAGTTCTCTGTTATTGCCTTTCTCTGGCTGCTCACTGCCTGCAGCTACAGATGAAAGCACTGTCAGGCCCTTTGGTGTTACTGGCTACTAGAGTATTAGCTTGGCATATTCTACTCCAGATCAAAATCACACAGGTGCAAAAATATGCCATGTGAAAGGGGCTTTATTAGGACTTATGTTGCAGCATAAGAGGGGTAACAGTGCACGGACTGATCTGCTATGGGTATGGGGAGATTGTTTACATGGTAAAGGGAGAGGCAGGTCTGCACATGCACAATGTCAGACTTTCTGTTTGGTCGTGGTGAGGGGAGGCCTCTCTAGATGTGACTGAGGAGGGTTCCGGAGGGCCTGCCAGGTGGAGTCAACTGGGATAAGTGCCAGACTGAGCTTTCTATGATCAAAGAGAATGTCTCCATGTGTGGCAGTGTGAGGTCTGATGCAGCTAGGGTAGATGCAAGGTGCTTGAGGCAACCACAGAATAAAAATAAACAGTACCTCTTGGGGAAGGTTGGGCCGCTCTCTTTTGTCTGTCTGGGCAGGGCACGGGTTGGCAGAGCCCAGTGGTGCTTGGCCCTGGTGCCATGCCTCCATGTCTTCCAGACCTCGACTCTGGAGAAAGAGGGCACACAGTACCATGTGCCCACTTGCTTGGTTGTGAGTTCTTCAACTGAAAGAGCAAGGGCTTAGCCCCTAATATTGCCCACATCTAGGTCTGACCCCAGTCAGAGTGATGCAGGGCACCCAGCCCACCTGTCTGGAGGCTCACTTTCTCCCTGGCTCTTTTGAGTTCCAGGCACTGGCCCTGTACATGTTCATGTTGGCTTGTGTTTCGGGAGGGGGTCACAGTGGCACCACCTCCAATGCTGGCTGCTGGGCACATGCTGCCTCTACCCCATCTTTGCCTGCAGTTATCACAGTAGGCACTGGAGCTAGCTGGCCTGCTCTCCCTTGTTACTTCAGCAGCCTGGTATGACATGTGAGAGTGGGGCCCTTCTGGCTGTCCAGGGATACACCGAGAAGGGGCTATGTGAAGGACACACGAGACCCACAAGCCTGTGGTTTCTACCAAGACCCTGACTCACATAGATGCCAGCCTGGATGCACTGACCTGTGTCTCAGCCCACAGCCACTGTGGGAGGTGGGGCATCTGCCTGCTTGGCACACACCACCAGCCACTGGGGACAGCCATGGCACTTGAGCCAAGTGTTAGGTTCAGGAGTGGGGCCAGCAGGGCAGTAGGTCCTGTGGAGGCCTCATCTAGGCTGTGGGGATGTTCTGCCGAAGGACCTGCCTCTGCAGAGGCCAGGCAGGGTAGGGGACAAGGAGACCCTCCCATAGCAGTTGGATGGAGCACAGTGTAGGTTGGGACAGGGGCTCTTCAGGGTGCAGTAACACTGGGATGGGAATGCCCCGGGCTGGCAGGACTTATCTCCAACTTTCTAGGTCTCTGTGGAAGTGACATAGGGGAGGGCAGAGCGGGGGCCCAGAGCACAATGCAGAGTTTACCCTTTGCAGGTAGCCATGCTGAGTTTGTGGAACTAAACCCCTTTCCAGCTTGGCTTCTAGATGACAGCATATGTTCAGGGTATACATCTGCCTGGAAGCAGAGTTGTGGGTGGCATAGCGGGTAGAGCTGCCTGGAGCATCTCTCCCTTTTGTATTCTCACAGAACCTAGGGGGCCTAGAAAACACACATTTAACAGCATAGAGAGCCCTGACATTGCCTGTCTGAACTGGTCCCTTGGCTATGCTGAGCCTTGGGTTAGAGCCCTTTTGGGGACAGATGGGTGGATGCCATTTCACTGGTGGCTGGGCATGGTGGTATATGCCTATAATCCCAGTGCTGGGAGGCAGAGGCAGGAGACATGCTTCAAGTTTGAGGCCAGCCTGGGCTACATAATGAGTTCAAGGTTAGTCTGAACTATATAACGAAACCATGTCTCAAAAAAACAACCTAAATTGGTTGGCAAGGTGGCACATTCCTATAATCCCAGCACTCAGGAGGCTGAGGCAGGAGGATCATTGCAAGTTTGAGACCAGCTTGGGCTACAAAGTGAGCCCAAGGCCAGTCTGAACTGTATAGTGAGACCCTGTCTCAAAAAGATAAGATAAAACAAAGCAAAACAAAACAAACACCCAGCCCAATGGGGTGGAGGGAAACCAAAACCAAATCCATCATCTTATAGTGCTGCTGCAGCTAGAGACACTCTGACAGCCTCACTGGGGTCAGCTCCAGCTCTGCAGGACCTCAGGCCCCTAGGTCCATCCTGCATCCATGGGAAGAGGCCAGGAAGACAATGCCCAGCCCTGGTTTTCTTGTCTTCTGTAGGTCAATGCCAAGGCCCAAGAAGGATTGTGCCTCAACTGCACTTAATGGTAACCTCCTCATTCATGCAAACCCCTTCTCTGTCTGTTTCCCCACCTCCTCGTCCATGCTTCGTGAGGCCACCTCCCAGTAAACTACCTCAGTCAAGTCCTGATCCTAGTTTGGTCTCTGGAGGCCATGGCAGAAGTCTCTGGTGCTTGTATGATGGCGCACACTGGGGTGTTTCCTGGCACCTACACCCATTTTCCCAGTGCCAAAGACACCCAGGAGCTCTGATCTTCCTTCCACAAATTCTGATTGTGATTGAACTAACCAGAGACAATTCTGCTATTCAACAAAAGTGGCTAATGCAGATAGGTAGACAGGTTTTGGGAGCGAGATCTAGGGCTGGACTGGATAGGGGTGGTCAGGAAGCTCCTCTTCTGAGGTCAACTCCAATGTGTTTATTACCAACAGGACAAAAGAGGACCAAAGCCTAACTCAGCAGATGGTCCTTAACACCATGGGTTAGGTGGGCTCAAAGGAGGCCCACAAACTGGAGGGTCCAGAGCAGAGTGAGGAGCAACAGCAGTGGGGAGAGGTCTGGCCTGGATGAGCCATTACAGGCCATTGTCTTCAGGATCCAGTCGACATGGTGGCTGATGTTGGTGTAGACTCCGGGCCGATTGGGGAGACCGCAGCCAATTCCCCAGCTCACGATTCCAATCTGATACCACAGCCCATGCAGGTCACAGACCAAGGGTCCTCCTGAGTCACCCTGGGGAGCAGCATGGGTAAGCCCAGCCTGGGTTGGGGGTGGGGGTCCTAGCAGAGAGAATGGGAGAGCTGGGATCTGTGAAGCTGTACCCTCCTCTGGCAGTGACAGAGCCTCAGTTTCTGTATCTGCAAACTGAGGGCAAAGATCAAAGGGCGGTGACAGATTGTTGTTGAGTTTAGGGATGAGAACAGTGGGGCTGGGGACACTCACACGACAGGCATCCTTGCCACCTGCGACATCACCAGCACACACCATGTCTCCCCAGATGTCCATACGGGAGATTGGTTTTTGGAAGAGGTGGTTACATAGGGAGTTGCTGATGATGCTGACCTGCACTTCCTGGAGAGTATAGGGAGCCGGCAGACCTGGAGCATAGATAGAAACAGGCAACACAGTCCTCTTCTCTGGGGAGGGACATGCTGTGGGGAGGCAGTGTCCCTGGGATACCTAAGAAGTCATACTACTTCTGCTACTTCTTTATCTTCCTCTTCCTCCTTTTCCTCTTCTTTTTTTGTATGGAGGTTGAAGGATTGAATCTAAGGCCTTTGTAATAAGCCACATCCACGGCCCTTTTTGATATTTGATTTTGAGGCAAAGTTACCCATAATGGATGGGCATGGTGGCAGATGCCCATAATCTCAGCACTTAAGAGGCTAGGGCAGGAAGATTGCTGTGAATTCAAGGCCAGCCTGAGCTACATAGTGAGATCCTGTATCAAAAAAAAAAAAAAGTTAGGTTACCCATTTTGGTCTCAAACTTGTGATCCTTTAGCCTCGGCCTCTCAAGAGTGCTGAGTTAGATGTGCACCACCATTCCTGGCAGGATGTCACTCTTAAGGGCTTCCAGCTCTAGCCCCACAAAACAGGACATCATGAATGATCAATAAAATCACGGAAGAGCCCAGTAGATGGACATACTATTAGTACTCTCCCCTGAGATGCATTTACCCCACCTGCAGAATACACCCAAAGCCTCTGCCTGAGCCAGTAGAGCTTCCTTAGCCAAAACATACCCAGGGGAGGGGCTATGGCCACTAAGATGGCTTATGATGAACACAGCCTTGCTAAGGCACCCAGGTACCAGACTGGAGTGAGGGGCAGCCTGCTGGATGCATTTCCCTCGATGACACGTAGGCACTCTCAGGGTTTGACCCAAGAGCTGTGTGAGGTGCTCTTAGGGTTCCTGATAAGGACAAAGCCAGGGGAAGAGCCCCTTTCCAAAGGCACCAGGAAAGTATCACAGCCTGATGTGAGTCAGGGGTTATAGTCTTCATCTGGCCCTGAAGAGAATGACAAAGGCACCTGTGAAGTTAGCACTTTTAGTACCCTATTTTAGCAATAAGGAAATAGAGTCATAACTGCTTTGTCCAAAATCTCCTAGCTCATACCTGCCACAGCAAAACCTTTTGCGAGGCAAGGAGACTCCAGACGTGTCTCCCACCTGCTCCCCAAGCACTGAGAACAGGGGTGGAACCTGTGGCTTTTGGGGTTTCTGTCAGCCCCTGGCCAGGAAGGGAGACCTGCAGTGGGGACCTACCATAGGATCCCTTTGTTCACATCTATTCATCCTTTGCAGCAAGGGTCTCTTCTAGAAGAAAGGAATAGATCCCTTTCCTAGAGGAGGCAGATCTAGTGTTGGGTTCTCTCCATGCCAATTCTAGGTGCGTGACCTTGGAAACATCCCTTAAACTGTCTGAGCCTAGCTTCTGCTCCATTTACTAGTTCTGGGGCCTGAGGCAACTTTCATGATTATCTAACTTATTCCCATCTACAAAATGGGTACAGAACACTCCCAGCTTAATTTAGATTTTGTTTTGTTTTGGAGACAGAGTTTTGCTATGTAGATTAGACTGGCCTTGATCTCACAGTATAGTTGAGGCTGGCCTTGGACTCACAGCAATACTCTTGTCTCAGCCTCCCAGCTTCATTTATAGATAAGCTCTAGGGGAAGAGCTCTTGTTCTGTTCTCTATGTCAGGTCCCTAGCCTGACATAGTGCTCAGTAGACAACATACACACAGTTAGCGGTTATAACTGCTGTCATCAGGAAATGATATAGGAGACAGCCAGGCCATTCCAGGCACAAAGAATTTACTCCATCTGAGGAAAGCTTCAGAGCACCTGAGGGAAAGCTAATGCCCAGCATTTGCAGAGAATTCTTGTGCCATGAGATAGGCAGGGATTGTGCTACCTGAGGGCTTCAGGGAGATTTCAATTGTGAGTCAAGATGGGAGAAGGATGACTTTTTTGTTGATGGTAATCTTTTTCTTTTCTTTGTTTTCTTTCCTGATACTGGGGCTTGAAACCATGGCCTTCCAACTGAGCTACATCCTAACCCAATTTTTTATTTTACTTAAATTCTTAAATTGCCCAGGCTGGGCTCAAATTTGTGATCCTCCTGCTTCAGCCCCCCATAGTGCTGGTATTACCAGCAGGCTTAGGAATTTTGAGGGGAGAGAGCTCAGCCCTCTAGGAGAGGCAGCCAGAATTAGTCTGGTACCACGGAGCTCAAGTGGGGCTTACAGACAGGTGGGGCTGCAGAAGTGGGAGATGTATGAATAGAGCAATACCAAGGCCCTCCCACGGGCCCTCCATCTCTGCTGCCCTGGCCTACCCAAATATCCCTGCGCCTCTGCCTTAGGCCACTGGGTGTGTAAGGGAGGGACTTGAGGGTTTGGTTCCTGCCCTTGCAGGTAGGAGTGAGAGGAGGCAAGCAGATGGGAGGGATGCTGAATAGGTGGACAGAGGGGCTCAGCAGTGCCCCCAGATACCAAGGAGGGGCCGATGGGCTGATGTGGCTGGGACGAGGGGCAGGATAGTGCCCAACCCCCTTGCCCATCTGTTCCCAGCCTCACTCTTATGCTGTTTGATGTCCCCCCAGCCAGTCACCCAGCAGTCATTCCAGTTCTCAAACTTGGATGTGGAGGACGGGATGCAGACAGGCTGGATGTAGTTACTGTAGGTGACAGGGGAGGTCAGCCGCAGCAGAGCGAGGTCATAAGGAACCACCCCTGTGTACTTGGGGCTCAGAAAGATCCTGTCCACTTGGTAGCGATTATAGTAGGCTTGTATGTTCCAGAGAGATGGTGCTGCAGTCAGCTCACCAAACTGGACTGACCACTGATAGGGAAAAAATGTGCTGGAAAAAAGGAGAGAGAACTCAGGGCTCTAAGAGTAGAGCTGGCCACTTGGGCACACCTGCCCCGACCTCCAGTAACCTGTGGGTACTACTGTACTACTTGCTCATCCTGGATATCAAGTCCCTCTTGTGGATCAAAGGTACCCCCATGTAATCCTCAGAGCTCAGACAGGCCATAACCAAAATTTCCACTCACTGTTGAAGGAGGTGAAGGGGTGGCTCCCTGTATTAGTTCTCACCTTCCACAGCTGTCCTAAGGATAGCAAATGGCCCCAGTCCTTCACAGGACCTCTTTATAACCCATAATGGACAGAGTGGATGTGGGGGCCAGGGTAGGGCTCCTGGCAAAACGAAGAAAATGAGTTGGACTGTAAAGAACTTTGCCCAGGCTGGGCCACCCCCACCCCACACCCCCATCCCAATCCAGCTGTGCTTCAACTCTTATAGTATAATTTTGCCCACAGGGAATTAGTGAGACAGAACTCCTTGGGATTATCCAGGGGCGGATGCACACCACCATGCATGAATGTGTGACCAGGTGAGGCCTCAGAGGCCTGAGGTCACTGTCAGCCTGCCACTCCCAACTCACCTGTCAAAGCAGTGGGCGGCAGTGAGCACCCAGCGGTGGCTCAGCAGGCTCGCCCCGCAGTTATGAATGCCCCATCGACGGAGGCTCCCTTGCCACGGCCAGCGCCCCAGTTTCGCGTCTTCTCCACCCACCACGCGCGAGGGGACGGTTCGAAGGCCACAGGGACCTGGTATAACTAGACAGACATGGGGCTGAGCAAAGTACAGCAGGCCCACGCTCGCTGGGAAGAGATCTACTGCAGGGGACGCTGGGGGCGGGGTGGGGTTGGGGGTGGGGGAGGGCACCTTGGAATTCTTGAGTGAGTCTGGGTTCAGCCACGGAAAGAGAAGGTGTTGGGGGCATTTCTGCATAGTCCGAAGACGCCCTCTCGGGCCGTTACATTCAAGCCCGAGTCCTCAATCCAGGGGCAGAAGGGCAATACATGGGGTGTCCCTGGCATTTAGATGCAGCACCCGGGCAGGCTGGAGGGTCAGACTTACCTTCCATCACGTCTTCTCCCAGTAGTGCTGAGGAGAGGTGACAGGTGAGGTCCCAAGGCCTCCACCCCTACCCCCATCTCACCCCATCCCTGTCTCCCTCCATGCGCCCCGCGGCGCCCCTGAGCTCACCTGGTTTCCCAGGTCCCACCCGGGACAGTAGCAAAGCGGTGAGCAGCAGGCGCATCTCGCCCCTGGCAACGTCCTCTCCTGCGCTTCCTACCTGAACTGGGGTGAGGTGGCACCCCCTCCCCTCAGGGAGAGGGGGCGGGGCGGGGCGGGCCCTGGACGCCCCCTCCTTCCAGTTTGACCTCTTGTGCCCTGGGATGCTTGGAGACCACGTGACGCGGCGTTCCGCTCCTACAAAGGCCGGTCACCCGTATCCCGTGGACGTGGCCCAGCAGCCAGTGGATCCGAAAAACCCTGTTGTTTTAGCCAGGTGCCCTGTCAAAAGCCTGTAATCCCAGCCCTACGTGAGGCTAAGGGAAGATCGTGGTTCAGTCTCATTCTGGACAATTTAGTGACTTGGCCAGACTCTGTCTCAAACTTTAAAAATGTAAGAACAGAGCTGGGGATGTAGCTCAGTATAAAGACCCTGGCTTCAGTTTGCACCACCAAGTGGGGAGGGGGGGGGGAATAATTCCGTTGTTTCCTGTGGCCCAGGGGTGCAGGCTGTGTCCATTTTGCCTTTTCTTCCACTCAGATTTCCTCCAGGTTCCTGACCCTCAGCCAGGAGCCTCCAGGAGTCTTCCCTGGTGTTTGGTGATCTGAGGCCTAGGCCCTGGGGCTGGGTTAGGATCATATTCATCCCATCACAGGACTTTCTTGGAGAAAATGAGTGAGGGTCTTGGGTTTATCTCTCTCTAAGCTGGCAGTTGGGACTGTCCCTGTGTTATGATCTAGCCCTAAAATACCCCACTAAGTCTTACATGTTTGAGATGGGGCTTTTGGAAGGTGATTGGACGGTGGGGGTGCCATCCACTGATGAGTTCACAGTTATAATGTGCTGTTAGGAGGCGGGGCCTGGTTGGAAAAGGTGTGTCACTGGGGTGTGCCTTTTCAGGGTATATGTCTGTCCCCTGCTCCTCTCCTCTCTTTCTGCTTCCTGACTGCTATGGATTGAACAGTTTTCCTCAGCAGTGACCTTTCCCGAGCTGTTCTATCTTACAGTTAGCAAACTTTGGACTCAATCCACTGAAACTGTGAGCCGAATAAAGCATTCCTCTTTTTTTTTTTTTTGAGACAGGGTCTTGCCATTAGTCCAAGGTGGCCTCAAACTCATTATTGTAGCCCAGGCTGGCCTCCAACTCTTTGGTGATCGTCCTGCCTCAGCTTTCCGAGTGCTACAGTTACAGCCATGTGCCATCATGCCTGGCTCCCTCTCCTCTTTTAAATTGTGGGTGTCAGTTATTGTTTCCCAGCAGTGGGTAGTGACAAAGACCATGCCGGTGCTGGCTGCCTCCTGACAGCAGGCCCAGCTCTCCTCATCCTTCTCCACCTTGAATCTTTTGTTGTAATTGTTTTATTGATTGACTGATTGATTATTAGTATTATTTTGTCGTTTTTGAGACAGGGTCTCACTATGCAGTTCAAGCTGATTTTGAGTTTACTGTATAGCCCAGATTGGTCTCAAACTCCCAATGATCCTCCTGCTTCAGGCTCCTAAGTTCTGGGTTTGCAGGCATGCCACATCAGGTGACGTGGCGACGAAGAGCTAGATACCACACTGTGCTCCTGCTTGGATCATGGGCAGCAGAGGGGCATTGGAGGAAGCCTGGAGAAATCAAGTAAAATGAAGGTACCACCACACCCAGCGCCTGTAGTTGTTTTAAATATCCAAGAATATAGGTTATAACTTAATTGTCTCTTTAAATACAAAATATTTGGGCCGAGGATTTAGCTTAGCTCCTAACAGCACAAGCGCTTGCCTGGCAAATGTAAGGTCATGAGTTTGATCCCCAGTACCAAAACAAAACAAAAGAAACCAATATGTGTGTATATATATACAAATATGTGTGTGTGTGTGTGTGTGTGTGTGTGTGTGTGTGTATATATATATATATATATATATAATTTTTAAGTGATAACATTTTTGTACATGTTAATAGGGTACAGTGTATATCAATACATATATGTGATGTATAAGGACAGGATCAAGACAACTGGCATCCATCACCTTGAAATTTTATTATTTCTTTTCTCTTTTTTTTTTTTTTGTACTGAGAATTGAACTCAAGATCTTGTGCTTGTCAGACAGATGCCCTGCTGCTGGGCTACATCCCCAGCTCATTATCTTTGGTTTTCTGAGACAGGGTCTTGCTATGTAATTCAGGCTGGACTTGAACTCACTATATTGCCTAGCTGGTCTCCAATGCCTCCTGAGTGCTGGGCTTACAGGCATCTGCCACCACACCCAGCTACAATTTATTATTTCTTACAACACATACAAAATACTCTCCACTAGATGTTTTAAAATTTGTAGTAAACTGTTGCCTAGCTTAGTTCCCTCACTATGCTATTATACTTTGGAAGGTTTTCCTCCTATCTAACTGCAATCCCAAACCCATTAATCATCCTTTCTTCCTCTTTCCCATATCCTTCTCAGCCTTTGGTAATCACTATTCTATTTTCTACTTCTTTGTCATCAGCCCAGGCAGACATAGTTCATACCACCTAAGGCCTGACAACTGCATTAGAATTGACCCTCAGATCTGCCCAAACCCTGGGATTGACCATGGTTCCACTCATGACTCTGAGAATGAACCCCAGGTCTTCCCATGATACCAGGATTCACACTAACCCTACTGCTGACCCTGGGATGGACCCTGGCTGTGCCCCTAACCCTGAGATTAACAAAGCCTAAGATTGAATCCCAGGGCTAACAGTGACTTTGAGATTCACCCCAGCCCAAACAATGACTTCTAGGACTCCTGGGTTTTCCCAAGACTGGAATTCTTCCCTGTGTTCACTCACGATTCTGGGATTGTTACATGTCTTACTCATGACCTTGGTCACTCTTCGGTCCTTCTAATAACCTCAGGACCCCCAGTATATGTTGTTACGATGTCCATGCAGCCTAGTATGTTAGCTTTTCATTGCTGTGGTACAACACCTGAGAAAAACAAAAGGGAAGGTTTATTTTGGCTCATGGTGTTCTAACACCGGTTTCCGTCCATAGTCGTAGACTTGTGGTGAGTTAGAAGGACATGGCAGTGGAGAGCTTCTCAACCTCATGGTGGACAGAAGTAGGGGAGACACCAAGAGCAAGATATAGTCTCCAAAGGCAAGCCCCACAGGTCCACTCCCTACAACTAGGTCACATCTCCCCATTTTCCATTAGCTCATAAAATTATAAATCCACTTGTTTTGTAAATCTCCCAGGGAGATGTAAATGAAATAGCTGCCCCTGAACCGAAAGGGCACTAATAATGCAAAGAATGACTATAACAAACCCAGCTTGGCAAATAACTGAGTTTATCAGGGCTTAATTACAGAGTGGTACACAACTTGCAAACTGCAACACTCTGAAAGCTCCTCACCCAAACTAGACTACTAGTTTTATACAGCACTGATCAAAACAGCAAAATCAAGCTGGGTGTAGTGTTGCACACCTGTAACCCCAGCATTCAAGAGGCTGAGGCAAGAGAGTCATCAAAAGTTTAAGGCCAGCCTGGGTTACATAGCGAGTTCAAGGCCAGCCTAAACTATATATACTGAGATTTTTGTCTCAAAAAACCAAAACCTAAAAACAACTCCACCAAACGGCAAAATCAAGCCAATAATGATGGCACATGTTTGTAATTCTCACACTCAGGAGGCTGAGGAAAAACGATCATAGTGAGTTCAAGGCCAGCCTGGATACCATAGTGAGACCCTGTCTCACAGACCAGACCAAACCAAAAGAAAACTGTCCTCTACTTGGTAAAATCAGGATCAAAAACAAGAAAGATGCTTGGGAAAAATTGTATGTACTCCACTTCTGTCTCACCCTTAACAGGAAACTCTGCTGTTCTCAGCAAGTGCTGTGCAGCCGCGTCAGTAGATGAACTTGAGCTGCTGTCTGGCACACAGCCTGGGCACCGGGGGGGGGGGGACCCTCAGGGCAGCTGCGGATGGTGGGGGGCCTCACAAGATAGGATTACTTTGGCTAGGTTCAGAAGCCAAACTTATACTTTCAAAGGACATATACAAGCTTGAGGTCTGGTAATCTCAAAGACAGGCACTGGAGCTGCTAGGGGAAAGCCAGAGATGGAAGCCAGCAGAAGCTGGCAGAGCAGGAGGGACTCTGGAGGGGATGTGGCCTGGCAACCCCTTTCCTTCAGGCTGCTGGAAGTGTGGACTGAAGGAGAACACATTTCTCTTATTTTAAGCCACTCAGTCTGTGCTCAGTTGATGCAGCAGCCCCAGGAGACTAAAACAAAGTGACATCACTAACATCAGGGGCACAGGTACTGGGCTCCTGGGCTCGTCCTGGATGGGGGCTGAGCTTCCACACTTATCCCCTGGATTTAACTGCAGCCTAAGCTGACCGAACAAACACAACTCCTGGGCACAGAGGCCCTGAGTTCCCATATTCTGAGAACCTTCACCTGACTCCAAGGGTCTCTCCTGCTCTGGCCCTGGAGCTCAATATCCACAGTACTCATTTTATAATGGGCACCTCCCCAATGGGTGCTGTGCCTGGCATTGTGCCAATGACACATGCTGCCCTTGGCTCCCAAGCATTGTGACAGCCTCCACAGGGTAGCAGAGGACCTGGGACTGGCAGTGAGGGGGTTCCTGCCTGAACCTCTAGGACAAAGCCAAGAAATTTTTCCCTCCTTCTCTGGGCGGCAGCACCTGACACCCTGGGCAGTGGAAGGCCATGGCTGGGCCAGAGCTGTAGTCCAGGGCCTGCTGGAGGCATCTTGGCCAAGCATACCCCACTGTACCCTGCAGACATTCATAAGACACCCGGGGGCTCTGGGAGCCTGACATGGGTGAGGACACCTGGGTTGTGACAGATAAACTCATTTCAAGGGGTAAAGCAGTCCCAGGAGACTGGATCTCAGCAGGGCAAATGAAGGTCCCAGCTTCTACTGCCCAGAGCAGGCACCTTAATGTCCACCCCCTGGCCCCACCAGAGGGCAGCCATGGGCCTGGCACTTGGGATCAGGGACCCTAGAGAGATTGTTCAGGTTAAGGGAGCCCTGGTCAGGTTTGGTACTGGGGCAGGAGGTGGGGAGTGGGCAGGACTTGCCTCTTACAGTCTTTCCCTCCAGCATAACTTTTTTCCTTTGGTGCTGGACTCATACTCAGGACCTTAAAAATGCCAGGCAAATGCTCTTCTACCACCGACGTACATTTGCAGCCAAAAGCATGATTTTTCTCAATGGAACATAACCTCATACTTCAGACCTGAGACTGCTAGCCTTGAATCTTGTTTTATCTGATATTAAAGTTTCCATATCTGCTTTCTTCTTGTGTCCCATTTTTTAACAAGGCATTTTTACATTAAAATAGAAAAGACATTTTAAAAGAAATTATGAAACAATAAATTTCTTTGCCTACCTACATTGGCATTTTCTGGAGTATATATTCTGGTATATACTTGCCAGAATCTGGAAAGACAGTTTTCCCTGTGGTACAGTCACCAGGTCCTCATGATCCCAAGTTGGGCCTCATTCAGTTACCCACCAAAGACTTTCCCTTGGGGCCTTGGCAGGAACCCTGCAGGGTATGCTAGCATGTCCTTGCCTGTGGTATGACCAGCAGGTTCCTTGCACTGGGCTGTGCAGTCACACACCAAGGACTCTCCACTAGGGTACCTGGAAGGAACTCTGCTTGGAGTCTTCCAGAATGTCCTTCCAGAACATTCCGTGGACTTTTGGTGCATTGTTCCCCCTCCAATCCAATGGCCTCACTAGGGCAACCCCCTTTTCCCTCCCTGTGCTGTTCTGGGGATGGACGGAGTTGAGGCAGGTGTGGGAGCTGAGGGAGAGTCTGGTGAGCAGAGCCTCCTGCCAGAGCCCTAAACCGGCCCTGAAATCTATTCTGTCCACTTTGAGCTGCACAGGGGTCCCCTGGAGGACTGGAACCATTTCTCAGAGGAGTCACTCCAACAACCCCTACCCCCACAGTGCCCAAGAGTGAGGACTTCGGTCGTGGCTTGTTGGTGGTCTGATACTTCTACAGAGGACTTCTGGCCCACAAGAGAGACTGGGTGGTGGTGTGCAGTATGAGCACATGGTGTAGCCCCCAGGATACCCGAGCAAGGCCTGTGCCAAGGTGGCCATCCCCACTCCCAGGACCCTGAGTTCTCTCTTCTCTATGGCAGGTTCCCTGATGCCTCTAAATGGATTGTCCAGCTGGGTGAGCTCACTCTCTACCCATCTGCCTGGAACCTACGCGCCTACCTCAACCGGTACAAGGTGAAGGACATCTTCATACACCCTAAAGCCAAAGGGCAAACCAATGGCATTGCCCTGCTGAAGCTGGCCTCTCCTGTCACCTACACCAAGTACATCCATCCAGTCTGTGTCCAGGCCGCCGCCGCCTCCACATTCCTGCACCGGTCTGACTGCTGGGTGACTGGCTGGGGCGTTCTCCACGAGGACCTGAGTGAGGCTGGGACACATGGGCAGCGGGGGAAGGGTGTGGGCGGGCACTCTCCTGGTCCTCTGTCCCAGCCACACCAGGCACAGCAGCCTCTCCCTGGTGTCTGGGGCACCACTGAGCCCTTCTGCCTGCCTAGTCTGCATCCTTCCCATCCATCCTCTCCTCTGCCTCCCACCTGTGAGATCAGGAACCAAATGCTCAGTCCCTTCCCTTGCAGACAGACCTGGGGGCTGAAGGCCACAGGGGCCTCCAGCTTGGCCCTTCCTGTGTCCCCTGGCAGCGGGGTTGGGGTGGGGCAGCTTTGTGGGGCAGCTTCAGGCATTCATTCCTTACGCTGAGACTGAATTCACAGCCCATGAACTTTGGAAGAGAACAGTGTTAAAGGACACCCCTCGGCGATCTTTAGTATATTCACCTAGTTGTGCAGCCATAACCCCATCTAATAATAGAACATTTTCATGTTCTCAAAAACAGCCCCCCTCTCCTCAGTCATCCTCTTGGTGGCCCAATGTCCCAGACCTTTCACCCCGGTCACCTGCATCCTGCCTGTCTGGGGATTTGCCTTCTCTGAACTCTATCTTTTGTGTCTGCCTTCTTTCATGTGATACAGTGTCCTCAAGGTCAGTTCACTTTGTAATTTATATCAATCTTTTTCATTTTTATCGGTACCAGGGATCGAACTCACAACTGCTTGCAAGGCAGGCACTTATGCCACTGAGCTAAATCCCCAGCCCATTTATATCAATCTTGCATTCTTTTCTTTTTGAGGTCTAATTTACATTGTATAAATGACTTACTTTAAGTTCAGGTGAGCCCTATCTAGACCATTCACAACACTGTACCACCATCCGTCTCTATCGAAGACCCTCATTCCCACTAAGCAGCCACCTGCTTGGAGCCCCAGGGACTCACTGAACAGCCTTCTGTCTCTGGATTCAGCATTTTTTTAAAAATCCGTACCGGGGATCGAACTCATAACCATGCTTACAAATTCAATATTTTTCATGTATTTCATATAAATACCTTTATATAGCATGTTCCTTTCAGGGTCTCACTTCCGGCATCAGAGGGTCTTCAAAGTTCATCAGTGAAACTCCAAAAGAATGTATATCTTTTTTGTTTACACCATTGTGCATTGGTGGGCATTTGCGTATTTTCTACCCATAGACTGTTATGAATGGACGGATTAGGACATTGCTATACTATCTTTAGTGCACTTGCCTCTTTTCAGTGATTTAAGAAGAATGTTTGGGAGAGGAATTGCTGGACCATATTGTGGAGCTTTTTGTGAGACCAGCAGGGTTGCACACCATGTGCACCTTTACATCTTCATCAAAATGAGGACTATAATTTCTCCACATTTTTGTCAGTATGTGCTATTTTCCAGTTTTGCTACCGTGGCCATCCTTTTTATATGTGAAATGGGAAACCTGGAGTTTCTGGTGACATTCTCATCTGTTGATTGTCCCAGGATGTCTTAATTTCTCATTAATTTTCTGAAGAATACCTTTGTATGATATGGAATTATTTGTTGATTGTTCTTTCCATTGGCTTTTTTTTTTTTTTTTTTTTTTTTTTGTCCCAGGGATTGAATTCATGAGCTCGTGCTTCCCAGGCAGGCGCTTATGCCGCTGAGCTAAAACCCCATCCCTTCCATTGGCTTTTAATGTGCTTTTATGAGCTTGGTATTAAATACATGCCATTAAGGCAAGGATTTGGGAAGGTGAGGCAGAAGGATTTCTGGGAGGGAGTTTGAAGTGAGCTACACGGTGAGTTCAAGGCCAGCCTGAGCAAGATAGAAAGACCGTATAAAGTAAAAGCCTTTTTACTGCTTTCTGGCTTCTATGAGCTTGTATTTTTTTGATTTTGTTTTTGTTTCATTTGCTTGTTTGTTTGTTTGTTTGGAGGCCTGAGGTTTGAACCCTGAACCTTTGCACTAAGCTACATTTGCACTAAGCGAGAAATGTAGTTCCTCAGTGGTTACATTTCTCTTTGCTATTTTTTATTTTGACAAAAAGCCTTGCTAAGAGGCCCAGGCTGAGGTCAAATTTGTGATTCTCCTGTCAGCCTCCTAATGTGCAGCACCATACCCCGTCAGGCTTTTGTTAGTCTGGTTATAATGTGTTGCTGTATGACCCTGTTTGTGTTTGTCCTCTTTGGAGTTTTTCCTTCTCTCTTCTTCCTTCTCCTCTTTTCATTCTCCTTTTCTCCCCTCCTTCCTCCTCCTCTTCCTCCTATTTCTTCTTCTTCTTGGCTTTTTGAGCCAGGGTTTCACTATATAGTTCAGGCAGGCCTCCAGCTTGCCACCACACCCAGCCTGGAGTTTCTTCCTCAAGTCTGTCAGTCACAAAATGTGGGAACATTGTCCTAGATTTTTTTTAAATTTTATTTTTAATTTTTAAAATTGTCCTAGATCTTGCAGTCCAAATTCTCTCAGTCTCTTTAGCTTCTCCCCATCTGGGCTTTAGGCAGGGACTCCCCCACTGGTATACTCAGGGGTCTTCTGTTGTACAAGCAGGAAAACCAAGTATTGGGGGAGTACTTGTCCACCCTTTGGGTCTTCCTGTGGTTTGTTTTGTTTTTTCTTTTTCCCTTTTTATTTAGATATACGTAGTGATAACATTCATCGTAAGGCATTTGTACCTGTACATGTGTCTTGCTTCTTTTTTTCTCCCATTCCACTTCCCACCCTTCAATTCTTCTTCCCCGCCTTATTTATAAATCTTCGTTTCCATTTTCCCCTTCTATTGTCTTTTCTTTCTTGTCCTTTCCTTCCTTTCCCCCTTCCCCTCCCTTGTTTCCCTTCCCATTTGACCATTTTTTTCCCCATTTCCCAAAATCTATCATACACTTTTGGGCCTTATTTACACTTTTGATTTCTCACATTTAAAACTAGACTGATATTTAAATGTGTGTGTCCAGTTATTTCTCTTAAGAATACTATCTCAAAGTGTGTACATTTACTTAGAAATATCTCAAGATTATTATTCTTAGCTGGGCATAGTGGCACACAACTGTAATCCCAGCACTCCAGAGGCTAAGGCAGGAGAATTGTTCTGAGACCAGCCTGGGCTACAAAGTGAGCTCAAGGCCAGCCTGAACTGCATAGTGACACCCTGTCTCATAAAGACAAAAAATATATATCATTCTTTATGGCAGAATAGTACTTCATTGTATGAAAAAAAAAACCATAGCTTCTTTTTCAGTTCATTGGTTGATGGATATTTAGGTTGTTTCTAGGATTTAGGTATTATAAACTGAGCTACTATGAACATGAGTGTCCATATATAGCTGATGCTTTTCTTTTGGGAAAATAACAAGGGGAATAGCTGGATGAAATGGAATCCTCTAGTGTTCATTTTCTGAGGAATCTCCACCCTGAGTTCCTCAGTGGTTGCATAAGACTACATTCCCACCAACAGTGGAAAAGGATTACTTTTTCCCCACAGCCCCACCAGCATTTGTTATTGGTTGATTTTTGTTTGTTTGTTTGTTTTGTTTTATCGGTACCGAGGATCGAACTCACGACCACACTTGCAAGGCAGGCGCTTATGCCACTGAGCTAAATCTCCAGTGGTTGATTTCTTGATATTAATCATTCTTTCTGGAGTGAGCTAGAATCTCAAAATTGTTTTAATTAGCATCTCTTGGATAACCAGTGATGCTGAGCATTTTTTTCATACATTTGCCATGTCTATTTCTTTATCTGAGAAGTGTCTATCCATTTCAGACATCCAAATCAAGGTCTGATTTTTTTGAATTCTTTATTATGCTAGATATTAGTCTTTTGTCTGTGGAACAGCTGGCAAAAATTTTTTTCCCACACTGTGGGCTGTCTCCACTCTGTGGATGGTTTCTTTTGTTATGCAAAAGCTTTTCAGTAAGATGAGATCCTAGTTGTTGATTCTTTATCATAGTTCCTGTGCAATCCAGGTTCTGTTCATAAAGTCTTTGCCTCTAACAATGTCTTCAAGAATTCTACCTATTTTATTTTCCAGCAGATTTACTGTTCTGTTTTAATATTTAGATCTTTGATCCATTTCGACTTTAGTGAAAGATGTGAATTTAGTGGAAGATATTGATCTAGCTTTAATCTTCTGCACGTAGTCAGTTTTTCCAGCACCATTTAATAAAGAGGCTGTCTTTCTTCCAGTGAAGGTATTTGACCCCTTTGTCAAAAATAAGGTGGAGTTGTTTCTGCATCTTTTAATCTGTTTCATTGATCTTTAGGTCTGTTTTTTGGCAGTACCATGCTGTTTGTAACCACAGTAGCTTTGTAATATAATTTCAAGTCAGATATTGTGATGTCCTCTGTCTTGTCTTTGTTGCCCAGCATTGCTCTTGCTATTCTAGGTCTCTTCTGGCTCCAAATGAATTTTAGGATTTTTTTTCTTTAATTCTGTGAGCTATGCTATTGGTATTCTGACCTGGATTGCATTAAATCTGTACAATAATTTGGGGAATATGACAATTTTCACTGTATTGGTTCTTCCTGCCCAAGAACAAAGAACATCATTTTATTTTCTGATATCCTCTTCAATCTCCTTTTTCAGAGTACAGTGGACCCTCAATTTGTTCATGAGGGCTGGTTGTAACTCAAGTTGGTTGTAAATCAAGACTACTTTTTTCTTAAGAAATAATGGAAATACCCATAATGCATTTCAAATCTCTGGAAGCATTCCTAATTAAACTTTATGTAATAAAAAAAGGATTGTATAACCTGGTAAGCACAAAGTCCTGAGTTCAATTTCCCATACCAAAAAAATCAGCAGCGTTGCTAATTGTTGGTAGAGAAGCTGTCTGTACACTTCAGGGCCTGGCTCTGCTGTCGCTGGTAGACAGAGTCCAGATCTGTGTTGACTAATCCGGATTAATTCCAGTTGACCCTGAACTTCTGGTGGTCCTCCTGCCCCAGCTTCCAGAGTGCTAGACTTACAGGCGTGTGCCACCACTTTTGGTTCCTCCTATGATTTTTTTTGATCATCCACAAAGTTGCATGCTCACCAGGGATAGTTTGCATCACCTCTGAAAGGTGTGTTTTCTGTCCTGCCCCTTGTCTCAGATGGCAGAGGGGATGCTAAAGTCACTGCCTGTCTTTGTCCTTACTGCCACACCTCCGCCACCTCCGTACCACTTCCAGAAAGTGTAGGTCATCATCCTGAACAACATAAGATACAGTTACCTGTTCGGGCTGCTGTCCCATAGTAGCTTACTCAGAGATAGAAGGTTTTATGCGAGCCCTGGGGATGGCAGCACAAGACACCTGCGAAGTGAGTGCCCCTCACTCCAACCTGTGCCCCTCAACCGAACCTGCCCCAGCTGAGGGTCAGGGGCTGTTTCCATGTGCCCCAGCATCCATCTTTATAATTCTGGAATAGAAATTAACTGCAGCCCTTGGTCACTCAGCCTCCCCAGGATGTAGAGATTCTAGCCCAACTCTACAGATGTGTAAACTGAGGCTCTGTCCTTGCCAGGTAGGTCCTAACTCCAGACCCCCTCCTGCTCTCCTAGTCTCTGTGCTAGGCCACCCCAGGGCAAGCTCACCCATGCTTCTCTTCAGCATTACTCAGGATGCTTGGCCTATGACCAAGATGGGCTGTGGTAGCAGATTGTAGTCATGAGCTGGGGCGTAGCTTGTGTTTGGCCCAACTGGCCCTGTCTACACCAATGTCACTTATGCAGGTGCTCATGTTTCCCATGGCACCCAGGCCAAACCTTTTCCACCACTGTTCCTCTCTCTGCTTTGGGCTCTGGAGCTCTGGGGAGGATAGGGCTGTGCCCACCTCACCTGTGTAGCTATCAAAGCACTGTCCCTTTATCAGGCTGTGGGTACTTAGAATCAAGTGCTAAGCCTGCCTGGATCCTGTCCCTTTCCTGTCCCTTTCTGTCTAGTAAACTTGTGTGCATATCTAAATTGGTTCCCTACATACTTTTACGGGGACTCAGTGGCTTCATTTTTTTTTCCCTTCATGTCAGACAGATAACGCACCAACGTCATAATAAGGTTTGAGGGAGACACATCTCATGTACACAGCATGAACACCCAATCATCACGCTCACGAACTGAAGGATCCCCAGTGGCTTCCTTGAGGACTTCCTCTGCTCACTCGTGACCTGTCCAGCCAGGACCGCACCCCAGCTCCAACCCTTGCCCACATTTTTTTTTTATTTAAAAAGAAAAAAAAAACCGGAAAAAAAAGGGTAGAAATAATACAAAATTTCAGAAAAATAGACAGTAAGAAATCACTAGTTGGTAAGTTACATATTGTCATCTTAGAAATAGTTGTTCAAGTTACAAAATTAAAAAATTCAAAGTGTTATTCAAATAATGATACTGAAAACAGTTCTGCTCAATGATCCAACAAAAACTTACTAATATGGTTATCAGTCCTACACACTTGCTTTTTTATCTTAAAGAGGGTAAGATTAAACGTCAAAACAGAACAAACACAGTTCATAAGGAAACAATTTAAAGAAACACAAATTTCAAAGCACATCCACTGGAGATCTTCACTGTCTATCTTATTGTCTCTAGTTTTCTTCCAAATAGTTGTCCCCATCTTCACACACATTGAATATATACTGAACATAATAGAACTAATCAAATCATTCCAGGATGATGAAGGCTTTTTAGGTCTTCAAGGCCTGATTTTGGGGAAGACAATAACGACTACCATAATGTGTCTCATTCTCTTCGAAGTAGCTGTCTTTATCTTTACATATGCTGAAATTGAACGTAAGAGACTAGACTAATATCACCCTGAATAGTGAATAATAGTATTGCTAGATTTTATATCATAATGTTACAGAATTAGCATTGGGTTTCTTAGTGTCTCTTCTTCAGAGTATCTGTTCATTACATCATGTATTATATAATCTGTTCCCATAAATAGTTTAGAAATTATTCCCATGTGTGAATCTCTACATGTATATCTATCCTTTCTGTATTTTAGGGAAAAACAGATCAAAACAAGACAACAAAACAAATTCCTAGAAAAACATGAAATAAAAAAAGATATATAAGACCACAATATTAGGTAATCTACAGTAGTTACTATGCTTTCTCTTGTTATTTTCAATAGACTTGTCCACATAATCAGGCATTATATAGTTAAGCATAGCATTACATAGCTATTTTTATAAAAACACATCTTTGGAGACATTGTAGGACTTGAAAGCAGTTAATAATAAAAACTGGAATGGATATCTTTTACATCTTGTCATCTTCAAAGTAGTTGTCTCTACTCTTAGACTTGATACTATCAAGTATACCAAATTCGAATAAAATCAGTCAAGGCAAAATAGTGGTCTAACAAACCAGCTTCAAATAAGATCAGTCATAGTAAGAAAATGTAAGTAATACAGGGTTTCAGTTTAAGTTAATAGGAAATTAAGGATAGTTACTGTGGTATAACCTGTTATTTTTGGGTTAGCTGTCTGTGCCCTCAAATCTCATATGAGTGCACAGAGCAGAACACAATATAATCAAACTAAACAGAGCGTTATGACTACTGTGGCTTTTAAATCCTGATACACTTTTAATAATGTCCTCTGCTTTCCTTTTTTTAGGCAGTTCCTCACCTTTCCCCTTCTCAGGATGCTTTGTATATTTTGGGTCCCACTAGCTCCTTTAGTTTTTAGACTAGGGGGTCAACCTGTTATCTATCTGAGTGTTGCTGAACCTTTTTACCCCTGAGCTTAATCTTGAGTTGTACTCCTTTACTTACTAAAGGCACAGTTTTCCTTTCTTCCAGCTGTGTAGTTCTACACTGCCCAAAAGTGCATTAGCTTTCCAATCTATCTGCGGCTGCTGGATGAATTGTCCCTATTTCTCTCTGGTTTCCTGTCACATATAGTATTGTTTTCTCATCTTTGACTTTCAGTTTATTAACCCTCTTTCAGGTTGAGTGTATTTCCTATTCAGAGCATCTCGATGGATCCTGCCTCCTAATCTACTCTGCCTGTGGTTTTTTTTTTTTTGTTGTTGTTGTTAGTGTATCAAGCCTATCTATCTTAAAGATTATAGCCTACCTTCTCTGCCTCATCTCTGCTATTCTATTTTTCTGCTATTATTTGTCCACTTTATTCCTTCATTCCACTGTCTGCCCCATTCATTGAGGCCTCTCTGCCACTGTTGCTGGAATCCTGGTATTTTTTTCTCTCTCTCTAGAATGTCCTTCAGTATTTTTTGTAGGGTTGGGTTGGTGGCCATGAACTCCTACAGTTCCTCCTTGTTTTGGAAATATCTTGTTTCTCCATTAATTTTGAGAGAGAGTTTTTCTGGATACATCAGTCTTGGTTGGAAGTTATTTTCTTTCAGGGCTTGGACTATTTCCCCCCAGGCTGTTCTTGATTTGAGAGTTTGTGTTGATAAGTCTGTCATTATTTTGATAATTTGTCCTTTATAGGTGATCTGCTTCTTTTCTCTGGCCGCTTTTAATATTCTGTTCTTGTGGTCGATTTCTGATATCTTGATTATTATATATCTGGGTGTAGATCTGTTTTGGTTGTAGGTGGCTGGATTTCTGTATGCCTCATTTATCAGGATATCATTACTTTTTCCTATGCTTGGGAAGTATTCCTTAATTATATCTGTGAATATTCTTTGTAGTTCATCTGTGGTTACTCCTGCTTCTTCATTTATGTTTTTTATTCTTAAGTTATAAATCCTCTTGTCATCTTCTAGTCTTTGAATTGTTTCTTCCTGGTTCCTTCTTATTTTTAAGAGATCTTTTCTTTCATGATCACACATCATAAATCTCTCTTCAAGTTTTGAAAGGTTAACTTGAGTTTCTGTCAAGGCATTTTGCCAGCTTTCAATGGAGTTTTTAGTTTCCTGGTAATCTCTTTGAATCTGTTTCATGTTTTCTTGTTTTTGTTCATATTCTTCATCAAAGGCTTGTCTTCCTTTTCTGAGTTCCTCCATTCTACCATCTGTGTTCCCTTGGGAAGGGTTTATCATTTTTTAATTAATCTTTTTAGATCTTGCTTCACTTGAATCAGAAGTACAGTTTTAAGTTCATCTATGAGGCCACAAGGGTATTTCTTTATATCCGCTGATGCTGTGTCTAATATTGCATGATTACTGCACTGGTTCTCTTCTGTATTTACCTCTTCTGGGCTTATTTTCCTGGGGTCAGCAGCTGGAGGTTTTTTTTTTTTTTCCTTACTTTTTTTTTGTCTTTTTCCTTTTTATTGGTACTGGGGATCGAACTCACAACTGCCTGCTTGCAAGGCAGGCGCTTATGCTGCTGAGCTAAATCCCCAGTTAGCTGGAGGTTTTTTTTTAAAAAAAATTTTTATCTCTTGTCATGTTTCTGGTTTCTTTCAGACAGGTGTCTTCTGGGGGTCTCTGGCCCTCTCCGTATTACTTAGGGTCTTTCCGAAGCATGCTGACTGGGGTTTTGCTGCCCTCCCCAGTTTGCTGCTATTTGAGGTACAGGCAAGGACATAAGACAGTGCAGGCTAGCCTCTAGCCTCTGAGCCAGTCAACCCGCAACTTCTTTCAGGGACTTATGTTGTACCTTGTGGATGTCACAGAGTCATGACCTTTTTGTCCTTGGCTATTGGGTATAACCAGAGGCATAGCTCAGTCCCCACAGAGCCCACCTATCCTCTCTGCACCAGGGGCCGCCTACTGACACTGCTGCTGCACTGGGCTCTGCCCAACTCCAAGATGTCCTCCAGCCAGCCAGCCGCAGGACCCAATCCCCAGCACTCACCGAGAATCAATGCAGCTTCTCATCTTGACTCCATCCCACTCCACGCTGTGTCCTCCTGCCAAGGGCTCGGGACACAACAATTCTCATTATCTGCGGCCATGGCTTCAGCTTGACCTTGAATCGCCTGACTCCAGGCCACTTCCAGCACAGCGCTGAACGGGTCTCAGTGAGCATGTCAGGCTACAGCCCTCCATCCACGCTTTTCCTTCCCTTTTTTACTTTTATTTTTCCCTTCAGTTTCTTCCTGGCTTAATAAAAATCATCCTCCAATCATCTGGCCCTCTCCATGCTGTCAAATTCTAGCACCAGAGCTGCCTTCCCTGCAGAGGCTCTCCATCCAGCCCCCTATCAAGCCGCCATTTTTTCTCATTCATTGACCACATTTTTGTTGCAGATGAGTGAACCTTCTTGCGTTAGTTCCATGAGAAAGGTAATTTATGGAAAGATGGTCATTCCTTCAGGGTGCTGAGGGCTGGGAGTACCAGAGGGACAGATGTTCCCAGTCACTACATGCCCCCCATTGTAGTATGCCCCTCACACAAATACCAGACCCTCCAGGTCTTACCTGGGTCCCCTAAAAGCCAGGCTAGGATCAGAACTTAGTTGCAGGTAGTTTATCTGGGAGGTGATCTCAGAAAGCACATGCAAGGAAGTAGAGAAACTGAGGCAAGGAAGGAAAGAGTTTGTATGAATAAACTGCATGAGGTTATCTAGGCTGGGATACTGAGAGAATGAAGCCTACAATCTACATTGTGGTCTTCCTCCTCTCTCCTCTCCCATGTCACTCCCAAGAGATTTAGAAATCCTTGGGGACAAGTCCTGCCAGCACTGAGCATCCCTCTCCTATCCCAGTGCTACTGTGCCTTGCAGAGCTGCCCCTGCCTTCCCACCCTCACTGTGCTCACACTGGCACTTGGGAGGGTCTCTCAGGCCTGGCTTCCTCATAGGTGGGTCCCTCAGCAGGGTGGCCCCACAATCTGAGTGTGGCTCCATGTAGGACCTGCTATTCTATTTTCCCCCATTCCCCCACTCCATTGTCACCTTGCGCCTCTCATATCTGCCTGACTCCAGGCCACCTCATTTCCTTCTGAGGCCCATGAATGGCTCATTTCTTTCTGTGGCTGGTGGTGTGTTCCCAGAAAATGTCCTGCAGCAGGTGCACGGGTTTCAAGTGTGGCCCCATGGGGGGACACCAGCCACAACTGTGTACTCAGCCAAGGGCCCCCACTCCTGGACATTGTCCCATCTCCTCACCTGTGAGCCTGGGAGTTAAGCCTGGCTCCCTAAATCTGGGATCAGGGCTGCTGTTCATGCTGTCCTCTTGTCCTGCAGGTCCACATTGTTCAGCAAGGGACTAGCCCCCTCTATTGCAGCAAAGAGAGCCCCTTAATTCAGAGAGCACAATGTCCCTCTGGCTCCCAGGTGCCATGCTCGGTGGTGGGGTTTGCATTATTTGTTCACTTGGAAAAAGTAAAAATGGGAGTGGGTGGGGAGGACTGGCCCAGGGGATGAGGATTGGGGACCCAGGTGTGCCTGGTCTTCATATGGCTGGTTCTAAGGAAAGAGATGAGCCCAGAGCCCTGTCCAAAGTGTGTCTGGGGACTTGCTGATGGAATTGGGAGGAGGAGTAGAGGTGGATGATGGCCAGAGAAAACATATCAGAAACAAAGGCAGCTTCACCTTTGTTACCAAGTTCACCAAGGATCTACAAGGGAAAGGATTTAATACAGGACATACCATTTATAGGATTATGTTATAATATTCACCCAAAGAGTCAAATGCAAAATAATACAGGAAATCTATCCACACACTAGAGATCCAAAGAATCCAACTGAGGGCCTGGATCCCATGGCAATGTCCTGCACAAGTCCAGCTGGAGGCCTAGAGCCCACAGCAATGTCTCATTCAAGTCTGTTGTTATCAAGGATCTGCACTGAGAAGACCCAAAGGTCACTGGTGGAAGCTAAAAAGTCTGCACCAGTGGGATGAAGGATCTGTACCAGCAGGCTGAAGGATCTGTATTGGAACCAGGAAGTGATGCTCAAAGTAAGGACCAGAGCTCCGAAGCCGTCTTCAGGGACAGCAAGGTTCTGAGCTGCTGTGATGAGAACAGCTGAGTTCAAATCAGAAAAACTAGTGAACATGCTTTTCCAGGAGAATCAGTAGTACACCATCTTCCCCTCTGGTTCTTTTGAGGCCATTGGCAAGAGCTCTCAGGTAGGCCATCGACAACAAGCACCACACTGATTCAGTTCAGCTGGGTGTTACAAGTTGACTACTAACTGTCAGTCAATCCCCCATACTAAGTTACCCTGCTGAGTGTCAGGAGGGGCCAGTGCACCACACTGCTGGGACATGAGAAACTGAGACTGAAAACACTGAGGGTTCCACTGAGACACAGGTGGAACTGGAGACCCTAGGAAAGGAGGAGAGTGAGGACCCCATGATAGAGCAGCTGGTGGCCTATCATGGGGCAAGGAGCTTAGTGGCCATGGGAAGTGGGATTAGATATTTGTCTCCCAGTTATATATAAGCGGTCCTAGGTAGTCTGGGATGCTGAGAGGAAAGTGAGTCTAGAGATTTTTCTAAATCTGAGTATATCAGTAACTAACCAGGTGTTATCTCAGCACTCAGGAGGCTTCGACAGGAGGATTGCTGTGAGTCTGAGACTGCTTGGAATGTGTAGCAAGTTCAAAGACCAGACTGGACTACATAGTGAGACCCTCTGTCAAAAATCCAAATTAATGAATTAATTAATTTAATAAAAAATAAGGATGAGTACACCAGAGTGGAGGTGAAAGGGTTTAGAGGGAACATGTCAAGGGCCAAAGGCAGGTTCACATCCAGGTACTCCCTTTCCCCAGTTACAGGGGTCTCCTCCTCATAAGGGTCTCACCTCCAATTCCCAGGTTGGCTGCAACCTTCTAATACCAAGTGCTGAGGTGCCGGGGATCTCCCTAGTCAGGTGCAGAGTGAGCATGTCTGTGTGGAGCATGCCCTGTGTGGAGCATGCCCTGTGTGATCTCTGTTTTCCCACAGAGACCAACTCTGATAAGAATGTTTGTGGCCTCCAAAGCCCAGTCCCAACTGTGACTGTAACAGGAGGTTGAAACATTAGACGTCGTTAGGATCAGATGGGGCCCCAGGATGGGATTAGGTTTCTTATAATAAGAGGAAAAGATCACGGCATCCCCCACACACCCCTCCTTATCCCACCACATGTGGACACAGGAACAAGGTGGCTGTTGACGAGCCAGGAAGCAACTGTCACAAAGAATCGCATCTATCAGAGCCTTGATCTTGGACTTCCAGCCTCCCGCAATAAATGGCTATTGTTTTAAAACAGCCACCCTCTGTTATTTTCATCAGGACAGTGTGAATTCACTGAGACAGCAAGTAATAAATGTGCTGTGGCAGCCTTGGGAAGTCAGCCCTGCCACCCTGGGTTTGAAACTTAAATAGTTTGCTTTATTTACTTATTTTTGGTAGAATTTAAGTTTGAACCCAGAGCCTTTGCCTTAAACTATAGCCCAGCCTCTTTTTTCTCCTCCCCACCCCTTACTCCTCCTCCTCCTTTTTAAACCTTTGAGATAGGGTCTTCTTAAATCGATATGTTGCCCCAGGCTAACCTTGAATTTATGATAGTCCTGCCTTAGCCTCCCAGCGGGCTAGGATCACAGACATGCACCACCGTGCCCATCTAGTTTCTTTTTAACATTTTCACTAATGGGATTTTAATTTCATAAAATATTAAGCAAAATATGTAGCTGTGTGTCATGGCTTTCCAATAAAAGTGTTACGAGTTTTTCTGGGGCCAAATTTAGACAAAATGCCTTGCATAGAGCTTGGTATCTGTACAAATGCGAGTGGATGAGCAAGCATGAAGAGCTGACTGTGCCATGAGTGCAGACCTGAAGAGCCCCTTCCCTGTCACTCCTAGACCTTCCCCTTCAGGGGCATCTTTTCCAGGCAGCCCACGCAGGGGCAAGTCTGTGCACAAAGTCAATTTCTGTGCATGCACAAAGATGCCCTTGAGCATCTCATTGTCTTCCCCCCTGCCCCCAACAGGTCTCTTCTCCAATCCCTAAAGTGCCAGTGATTGACTGAGGTCATGTAGAGGACGCAGGGCCCAGGAGTCTCAGCCTTGTTGGGATGGCCCAAGACCAAGGCTGGGAACCCAGGTGAGGCTAAGCGAGCTGCAGGTAGAGATTCTCTCATGTGCTGTGCCAGAGGGGAGTCCCCTCCACCCCACCTTGGGAAGGCAAGATGTCCAGGGCCTATCTTGGCCCAGGGGAGAGGGCCTTATTGTTCCCTCTCCTGGCAAAGCGGTAACTGGGGCGTGCCCTGGACTTGAACACAGGCTTAGTAAATCCCCCTCTTAGTGAGCCCTGATCTGGAGGGACAAAGGGCCTGTTGAGCATCCCTGAGTGTGGGCTCTGGGCCAGCACTCTATGGCTAACAGCTGATGTAGGTGCAACTTTTCTAGGATTGGTCCTCTTGACCCCTACACATAGTGAATGCATGTATGTGCGTGTGTGTCTATCTGTCAATACCCCACGCATCTCAATGAATATGTGCCCCTCAGGTGCATTTGGCCAGTGCCCTTGTCTCCTCTAACCAGGCTGGCAGCTGTCTCTTCCTCCAATCATTCCCACCCCTGGGGGTACTTCCTGGAGTCCTGACCCAGACAGATCATCATTCTGGGCGCCAAACCTTGCCAGCCTGGATTAAAAGCCACTGAGCTGGTAGCACAGCTGTACAAGTGCCCTTGTTCTTGAATTGGGCTGGGCTGGACACAATCTCCCTTTGTGCTGTTCTTGGGCCCTGCCTCAAGACTGTGCCTACCAGGGGTGCAGGCTGTTCTGCCTCTACTTCCCTGACAGTTCTTGGCGCCCCGGAGGTCCCGTCTGCCCTGGGCTGCTCAGCTCCGATTTGTCTGCAGGCCAGAGGTTCCCTGAGACTGACATGGGAGGCTGGAAGGGCAGCTTGAGGGGAGCTCACTTCTGCAGTGAGTGTGAGTAGGATCAGAGTCCTGGAGTCCCCAGGAGAAAGTGCAGGGCAGAATAGAAGGCAGCTGTGGGGCAGAAGGCCAGTGTTGAACAGAGCACCTTCCTGCTTTCTGGTCTGCCAACACCATGGAGAGCACTTTGTTCCAGGTGGGCTGTGGGTGAGTATCCACCAGAAGTCTGTAGGCTTAGCAGGTAAGACCGGAGACTCTGGGGACCATAATGTCTCTGAACATGACCTCAGCACTGTCTATGTGGCATGAGACCCAGTGGCTGCAAATGATTGCCCTAATACTCCATGACAAATGGCACTGAATTTCATAAAATTCTCTTGTGACGTACAATACCAAAATACTTTTCTTCTGAAAATTTTCTAATGATTTTAACACATGAAAAGCATTCTTAGTTCAAAAATAGGTGGTGGGTTGGTTTGCCCTGCAGGGCATTATTTGCCATCCCTAGTGCTGGTAGCACCTGGCCCATTTGGTCCCACAACCCTTTACCCACAGCCCCTCTCTGAGACCAGTGTCCCCACTTCCCAGTGAGACAGTCTGTGACATACAAAGCCATTCTCTGTGCACCTTTCTATTCTAGGCATATGGTGTGTCTAAACACACCAATTCAAACCCAGCAGGCTCCTGTGAGCAAGGGAGCTTCTGTGCTCCTTCCCACACCTCAGCAGTATTCCCAGGGTGGCATCATTCATTCAGCCCAGACAGACACTCTGTTACTTCTAATCTTTTGCACTTTCCAGAGACTAACCTGGTGCAGCTGCCTGCGTAGTGTAATCTTCAGCATTCTGACCCTTCAGTGCAGAACCTCAGATCTTCATGGCCACCCAAGAGTAGATTCTGTTATTATTGACATATAGCAGAGGAAGCAGTCAAAGCACAGAGGGAGCCCTCAATCATACCCCAAGTGAGGAGGAAACCAGATTTGCACCTCAGTTAGGCCCTGGGCTGACCTCCAATCTATGGTTATTCCAGAGGTCATAGCCCCTGAGGACAGTCCTGCCTTCTGCATGTCACAATGCACAGTATCCAAATGGCACACCAGGGGCTTCCCTCGAGTTGTTCTTGGTTCCCTGGCTGAGCATCCAGCAGCATCCATCCACACCCTCTCATCCTTATCCTGCACCCTTATTCTGTCCCACATTCCAATTCATTTCCAGCAGGGTAGATTTAAGTCCTTCAACTTCTTTGGGTCGAACGTCTCCCCTCTTAAGCTAGTGTTGGTACATAATGGTGTAACACAAAGGAGGGTCCATACATATAGATGGGGGTCAAGGAGACTGAATTGGGTGAAACAGGAAAGGGTGTCCAAGATGCAAGCTCTGGAGAAGCACTGTCATTGCTTAGATAAAAGGGAGACCCTCATCTTAGCCCTCCTGCATTCGAAGAATAGGAGACAAAGCAAGTCACTTCTCCTGGATCTTCAGTCTCACGACAGAGTACTAAGCAAGGTCACATCCTGAGCGTCCTTTTGTCCTATGGGCTCTGTGCTCCTTAACACAGCTCATCCCCCACTATGCCCAAAGCCAGTGTGGAGGCCACAGATGCCTTCTGAGTGGCAGGACAGGGAATGGGATTTGAGGCGCCTCTTGCCCCTGGCTCAAAGCACAGATTTAGACTGTGTACTATGGCTCTCTGGCATAAGCAGGGAGCTGGGTCTAGGCCCTGAAAGCCCGCCAGACCCAAGTGCTACCCAGGATGAATGAGGTCTGAGCCCATCTCTGCCAAAACAGCCCCAAGCCCACAGCCCTTCTGAGGACCCCTGCCTTGGCATCCCAGGGGTTGAAACCTGCTCAAGCTGGCTAGGGAAAGCCTGTGAATAAATCACCTCCTGCCTCTGAAGAAAAGGTCAGTCTAGGTGCTGACAAGAGCACCCAGAAATGACAGGTAAATGCCTGTCGTCTCCAGGCTTGTTTGTGTAGGCTGCAAGGCCAAGACAGCAAACACAGCACATCCGGGAGCCTCCCAGGGTGACTTTGGGGATTCACCTCGGAAGAGCCCTCACCAGCAACTCCTTCCTGGCCCCCTAGTGACCACTGGGTTCTTCCTTTTGGAGGGGGGCCCATAGGCCCCAGGAGCATATAAGGGGCAGATGACAGGTGCCTGGGCACAAGATTTCCATAACAGACTTTCCTAGCAGGTAAGGCGCTGTTGTAGGGGTGGGGGCAGGTTGGATAGCTCCTCTGGGAGTAATGCAACTTCTCTGCTCCCCAGAGCCTGCTACATCAGCCAGAAGCCATGCTGCTCTTGCTGACCCTTGCCCTGCTGGTGAGCCCCACCTGCTGGGCACACGGTAAGTCAGCCTGAGTCTTCCCCTCAGGCCTGTCTCCCTCTAGCCAGGGGGATCCTAGCTCTCATCACAGAGAAAACCTGGTCATTGCCTGCAGGGTGGGGGTCATGACTCTGGCAGGGGTCCCTGTGTGATCACAATTTCTTCCCACCTTCTTTTTATTGATACCCAATTGAAAGTTGGCAGACCCTTCAGCACCCCTCTATGCAGTAATGAGGAAGTCAAGGGAGTTCGGATGACTGAGAGTTTCACTGGCTACCTTACAAGGTAAGACTGGGGTCATAGAAGTGCTAAGTCCCACTCACTCCACAGTTTTAGGACTCCAGGGAGCATCCACATATAGCCACTTCTCCAAATATTCTCAACGGTCTCCTGGTGACTCTCTGAGGCCATTTGATTCCTAGAATCATGGAGTCACCAGCCATCACCTTTCCGCTTGTCTCTTTGCCTGGCTATCTTCTGTCTTTCTCACAGTCCTCCTGACCCTACTAGTAAGTCTTACAGTTATTCCCCAGCCCTCTCAAAGAGGGTGGCTAGTCAGGCATGGTGGTGAAAGCCTGTAATCCCAGCATTTGGGGAGGCTGAGGCAAGAGGATCACAAGTTTGAATTCTTAACAACTCAGAGAGGTCCTGTCTCAAAAATAAATAGATCAATAGATAGATAGTACTGGGGATGTAACTCAGAGAGAAGACCCTGGGTTAAGTCCTTGGTACAAAAAAAAAGTGTGGGGGTAGGGAGGAAGAGAAAGAAGATGAGGAAGAGGAAGAGGGGAAGAGGAAGAAGAAGGGTGTTGTGATGCTTCTCCTTACCTTCTCCTTTCAACCCAAACTTAGCTCAACCAAAAATGGCTTCTCTGTCCCAATACCTGTGAGGAAATCAGGAAAAGGTCTGACTGGTTAGAGTCAGAGGAAAGGATGTAGGGTCAAAGTGGGCCATTGACTGAACACGAGCGCCCAAAACCCCAAGAGGCTTCCCTGAACGCTGTGGGTCCTCTGCTTGAAGCCTGGAGTAGGGTTGTAGGGATGTGGGAGAGGAAATGGGGCAGGAATGGTGGCAGCACAGGACACAGAGAGTGGGCAGGGTAAGGTCAGGCAGGGGAGACCCTGCACCACGCACCAGGCGAAAAGGGAACAGGTGAGCCCAGCGGCAAGGGGCAGTAGAAGGCACATGCTCCTCAGGCCCCTGACCTGCTCTCTTAGGAGCTGCTCAGGTTGAGGAGGCCCAGCAGCCAGCTCATTTTGCACATGAGGAAACCGAGTCCTGGAGAGGCTGGGTAATGAGTTCAAGACTATCAAAGCTGAAACTGTAGAACAAAGTGTAGGCACCAGAGGGTGGGGGTGCCAGGAGCCAGGAAGCACTGAATCCTTTCAAGTCTGCCTCTCTTCCAGCCTCCAGGTAAAACTGGGGGAAAACTGGGATGTTGTCCATGGCCATAAAAGAGGGACTCTCAAGGAATTCAATCTGGATGAGGGTGAATATATCACTGAAGTCCGTGGCTGCCTGAAGATCAACCTCCGGTACTTGGTCCTGTGCACCAACCTACCTCGCTGTGTCTCATTTGGGGTGATGGATACCCCTGAGTTCTTTTTCTTCCCCCCAAAGAAAGGGCAGGTGCTCAAGGGCTTCAAAGGCTCGACTGGGCTCCTTTTCTTGAAGAGTCTTAGCTGCATATGGGGTGATGTACATGTTGATCCAATCACTGTACCACCAACTGGTACAAACACTACCTCATCACCATAAGATCTGGCTGAGTGTTCAGGCTGGGCCACAGACACACCCACTGAGGCTGTCTGGGTACAGATGTCCTAACAGTACTAGGGTGACCAAGTTGGGATTCTGAATCCACCAATAATTAAAGCTTCTGCAAGAACAGTGTCTAGGCGTGGTCCTTGGGTCTGAGAGTCTAAAGCCCCGAGGGCTGGAGTCTAGGGAACTACAATTTGGGGTGGGCAGAGGTGACTGCCAAGATCCAGGGTCTGTCCATAAGGAGCCAGTGCTAACCCTGCACTCTGAGGAGCCAGGATGCAAGGCCACCCCTGCCCTTGTGCCCTCTCCAGACCCCTTCAGCTGGTCTCTAGGGCTAGGCTCCTCTGAGTGTGTAAGAGGCCTTGGGGAGCCATTCACCAACTCATTTACTCAATCAAACTGCCAAGGCCTAGTTCCCACCAGGATCCCCTGGATACTGAGAATAAAGAAGGGGCCAGGTGTTCAGCTGAGGAGGTGGCTGTCCTATGATGGACAAGTATGCAAGCAGATAGCAGCAGTTTGTTGTGGCACCTGCATTGATGCGGGCACATGCAGGGCATTGTGCATGGGCATCTGCTAAAGGTAAAGTGGAGGGAGTGCGTTTTCCGGGCCTCCCAGAGGAGGTAACATCTGAGTAAGTCTTAAAGGATGAAGGAGAATTGGCCAAGTAGAGACAAGGATGAAGGGCAAAGGCAAGAGCCCAAATGAAGCTGGGTGTGATGGTGCATACCTGTAGTTTTCTTAGCTATTTGAGAGGCTGAGGCAGGAGGGTTACAAGTTCAAATTGCACCTGGGCAATTTAGGAAGATTCTATCTCAAAATAAATAAAAGGGTTGGGTATGCAGCTCAGTGAGAAGGCCTTAGGTTTAACCCGTAGTGCTGAAAACAAAGAGCTAGAAAAAAGCAAAGAAAAGGTCCACTGTGTGTCTTGCTCACAGCAGTTTAAGGACAGGATTGCCATTGTCCAAATTTGCAAAATGAGAAAACTGAGGCACAGAGAATGAAGTCATTTGTCCTGGGTCACATAGCACTAAGTGGCAGAGTTGGGACTCAGCTGCAAAGCCTGGATGCTGAGTCCAAGATCAAAGCAAAAAATTCACAAACTTCTCTGCACTGAGACACCTGGACATTTTTCTCTTCTCTACTTCGGTTTTTATTTAATTTTAAATGCTGCTTGAGTAAACTTGGGTCTGTGGATTTTATGAACTGGGATGGAAAAAATTCCTCTTTATTTGTACTGTCCTCTCCTGAAATTTTGTGTTTCCTTTGGTATGAATGTGACCTCACATAGCTCACAAACAATGCCCCTCAATTTGCCACACCCCTTACAGCTGTCACAGGCAGCTTGAAATGTTCACGCATCACAATTTCAAAACTATGAATATCATCAGATTTGCCTTTGAAGGTGTTAATAATCAAAGCTCAGATACTTGTGGAAACACACTTAAGAAAACGTTTTGGGGTGGCATGATAGTCCATGCCAGGAAGCCCAGAACTCTGGAAGGCTGAGGCAGGAGGATTGTGAATTTGAGGCCACCCTGGGCTAGAGAGGAAGAGACCCTGTTTCAGACAAAGCAAGAAAAAAAAAAAAAAGATTTTGGTTAAGTATAGTGCAGTTCCCTTTCTTCCCTAGCAGCACACAAGTCACTGGGGTTGACTGGGGACCTACCATTAACCTTTCCCAGCTGCTCCACCATGTGGACAGCCAGCTCTGTCGCATAGTTTATTTCCTGCACCTGCCTTGCTAACAGCGAAATGTTTCCAGTACTAGCGGGTATCCGTACTCAGGCTAGCAGCTGCGGGAGTAGCCGTGGAGGGTGAAGACAGAGGGTCGACTTTGCATTCCATTCCTTCCAGGGTTGGCGATATGGATGGCCACAAATACGATGGCGCCAGTTTTTTAAAAAGCGACAGCTTTTGCCCAGTGTAGGAGAGCAGAGGGGAGAGGAACCACAGGCACTAGCCTGCTCAGGGGCAGTGTTTCTGATTCATTGCACCCACTCGTCTCTTGCCCTGCACTGCCTCTCTGCGTGGGGCCACCTCGGGACTCCTCCAAAGTTCCTACAGCTCACCCTCAGCTCCTGCGAGCCAGCCCCGCGTTGAAATGATACTGCCTGAGGTATCACAACCGCAGGGATGGCGATCCCAGTGCAACCCACAGTGAGTAGGGTGAAAACAGGAAGAGGGGCCTGAGGATGCCCAAGTTCACCCACACACATAAACCCCATTCTGGCATATGGGGTTTCATACTGCGCTACTTCTCCAGTCTTTTAAGATGCGGTTTTAAAGCAGGCATGGTGTTGTATGCCTGTAATTTCAGCACTTGGGAGGCTGAAGCAGAGGCCAGTCTGGGCTACACAGAGAGTTCAAGGCCAGCCTGAACTACATAGCAAGCCCTTGTCTCAAAAACCAAAAACAACAACAAAAAATTGCAGGTTTTGTTATTAATTTTGAGACAGGGTCTCACTAAATCGCTAAGTGCCCAGGCTTGCAATCCTGCCTCCCAGAGTGTTGGGATTTCAGCCATCAGTCCAGGCTCCCAGTCCAATTCTCCTGATGACAAAGGACCATGCGGGCATACATGGGTGCAGAGACTTTATTCAACTAGGGGATTCAGGGCTGTAGTATCTTTGTCATCTCCAGCCCGGGGTCATTTGGTCTCTCAGCCACGCCAGGGCATCTAGTAGAGGAAGTCCAGTGAGAAGGTACGGCCCATTCCAGAGACCTCCACCGGCTTTGTGGTCTGCTCTTGAGAAGCCACGGTGGATGCTTGAGAGGACAGCTTCTGGGGGGCGAATCCCCACTTGAAGCCGATTCCGGAGAGGCAGAAGAAGCAGTGCTGGCCGTTGGCGGTCAGGAGCTGCTGGCCAGGAGTCGGGGCACTGGTGTTGAACCGCCTGCCGACCGCACGCCCGAAACTCGCCTGGCGGCCCCTGCTGGTTGTCCAGCGCAGGTGCCAGATGCAGACGTGCGCGCTGCCGTCCACCGCGGTTATGCGCTCGCCCTCCTCCAGCAGGAACTCCTGTGCGCGCCCACCCGGAGCCCCGTAGCGCGGGCTCCAGAGCTCGCCGAACCGCAGCTGGATGCTGGAGAGAGGCCCAGTCAGCGTGGCAATCCAGCGCTCTCGGCGGCCATGCACCTGCTGTTGCCGGCCGCACTCCCTCCTGTTCTGAACCTCTCGGCACTTGCCCTCCTCCCAGCCTACCCAGAGGTGGACCTTGACCCAAGAAGGCCGTTAAGCCCTGATTCGCTTGATGATACCACATGTGACTAAGGGGCCCTGGTCACTGTGTTCTGCTAAGGCGCTGTGCTGGAGTCTTGGAGCAAAAGAAAAGTGGCCCTGAAGTCTCCTTCAGTATTTTTCACTCTAGATTTTTCCTACTGGTGTATTGTAAGATACATCCCAAGTAGGACTGTTGGGTAAAAGGGCTACCAGATCGACTTGAATGTCACATAAACGATAACTTTTTAGGTAAATATATCCCAAATGTTGCTTTTTAAAAATACAACTGTGTGCAAATATTGATGGGTTTTGTTTTTGTTGTGGTATTTTGAGGTAGGTTCCTGCTCTGTAGTCCAGGCCTTGAATTCACTTTGTAGCCCAGGCTGAGCTAGCACTATGGCAATCCTCTTGCTTCAGCCTCTTGCGTGTGTGCTGGAATTACAAGAGTGTATCATCATGTCCTGCTAATAAATACTGAATTTTTAAAGAATAAATGTGTCCCAGATGTTGCACAGGACACAATAAAATGTTATTCACTGATATTGATTTGAACTGGGTGTATTTAAAAAAAAAAACAAAAACCAAACTTAACTTGACAACCCTAATCCAAGAAACGCACGGTACTTTGGGAGGATGATAGCTCCCCAGAGGCCCATGGTAGTGGGAAAAGATGAGCCTAGGCCTGCTGGAGAGACTGGCTCTTCTCCGTAGCACAAAGGATTAGGTGAAGACAGGGAGTTCTTTGTAACCTGTACTCTAATGAGTAATTTCAGTCACTTATTACCAGGGGACCCTAAAACCGACAGAACTACACAGAGGAGGGATCTGCAGAGCCTCCCCATCCTATCTGAACGGAAGTCCCAATCTAGCGGCCTCACCGAGGATTTGCACCACCTCATCCAAAGGCCCGGAAGCTGAAACAGAGGGAGTTGAAGACCCAAGGACAGAACGCCCTCTAGGGGCTCCAGCGGGGAAACTAGAAACTGTGAGCGCAAGCAGGGTTTGGGGGGAGCCTGGGAACCAGAGTCTACCCCTTGATGAGGCCCAGGATCCCCACGAAGACTCGGATGCTCTGGATCTCGCCTTGCTCTTCGCCCTTGATATAGAAGTAGGAGCCAAAGCCAGGGCCCTGTATCTCTGGAGAGAGAGGAGCAGAAAGGTGAGCACCGGGGTGCACTCCAGGCAGCTGCGTTGGGGTCCAGAGGTCCCATTTCCCACCTGACAGTCGTGCCTAGGACCGGATTCTGTCTAGGACAGGACCAGGAGGCCAGGGCCAGGCAGACGGGACTCACCCTGGGCGCTGCAGGCAGGACTGAGGAAGAGAGCTAGGATGAGGAACAGCAGCATGGTTCGCAGGGCACAGGCTTGGTGGTCAGCAGCCACACACGGGTCGGCAGCAAGGTAAGGCTCTGGGGAGAAGATTTAAAATGTGAGGGGTCTGAGACTTCTGGGGACAGGGCAAAAGGATATTTGGGAACCTTTCCCTATTGGCCTCCAGGGCTTAAAAACCCCCCATCGAGCCTGGTAGCTCATGCCTGTGGTCCCAGCACTCTGGGAGACTGAGGCAGGAGGATCACAGGATCAAGGCCAGGCTGGGCTACATAATGAGACTCTGTCTCACAAACAAAACAAAATAAAACAAACCAAAATAGTAAAAAAAGCCTAGAGTTGGTTTCAAAAGCATGCTTGTGACCTAGGCCCTCACTCAAAGGGCCATGTGCCTACGGTAATGCTCGAGCATTGCCATCCCAAAATCCTTCATAAGGTTTGATCAAGGAGCTTCACAATGTCCCTTTATACTGGATCCCACAAAGTGTGCAGCAGTCCTGGAAGAGACTCGTATTGTGAGGACCCCTCCATCCCTGCTCCCAGATTCAGTCTTCATATGGGTCACCAGATACCCCTCCTTCTCCTCCTGCCTCTCCTCCCAATAGAGTGCTGGGCTCCATCCCCCCTACCTGTGCAGCACAGTCCAAGCCCCTCAGCCTGCCCTTTTATACCCAGACCACAGCCACTCTTATGGGACCTCTGGGGCTCCACCCTTGGCAGGAATTCCTATAGGGCCCAGGAATTCTATCCAGGGTGTCCTGGATACTATTTATGTTCCTGTCCAAAGCCCCTGGACAAATAAGCCCCACAACACAGGTCATGCTCTGTGAGTCTGGGGCCACCCCATTAGCTCCTCTGAGACACAGGAAGGTCTCAGAGCTGGTCACCCTCAATGATGCCAACCAGCTCAAGCAAAGCAGCCAGGGGCCAGTGATTATTCTGGGTTCCTGAGATATGCAAGGAAGGAGGGAGGGAGAAAGCAAACAGCTCCTGCCTGGGTGACCTCACACAAAAGCCAGTGACAGAGCAGGTGGCTAGCCTCAGGATATGCACGACAGGTCTCTGCTTAAAGGTCTAGCCCCTACACCATGAGGGCTATTTGTATCAGTGCCCACAGATGTAGGCCAGAGCTCCTGACACGACACATAGCCAATCCTGGAGGCCACCCATGAGGCTGTGCCGATATAGTTTTCATTTTCCAGCCAAATGAGACACCATGAGGCTTAGCACTTTGCCTTAGTTTGCAGTGGGAGTTAGTGGCCCAGACCAGCTTCCAGCTTAGGGTATCTAACTCCTCGGCCATACCCAGAGTCCCTGCACTACAGAAATGCCAGCCAGGGGCCATCTACTGCCCACCCCCAGGTGTCCCCTGGGACCTCTGCCTGGTATCCCACACCCTTTCCTTCTTGTTGCTCATGCACAGCACAGCCCTGGGCACATAGTGGTCCAATGCCTGCCTGTAGTGCCATCGAATCTTCCCAGGAACACCGCCTCCAATCCCCCAGTGCCAAAGACAGGCCATCATCTATTTGTTCTCAGAGCCCACCAACATCCTAGGTCAGGGAAAAAGCTGTGAAGCCTGAGAGGTGGGTGGCCATGGCCTCTGCCCAAAGTCTGGGCATGGCCTCCTAGGAGCTGTGAAAGGGGTGGAAAGGAGAGGATGGAGTGGAGGACTGAGTAGTGGAGTTGCCAGCCCACTAAGCCCTCAGCAAACAGCAACCTCTCAGGAAAGGGCACCCGGATGAGCAGATAAAAGTCCTACTTCTTATTGCAGTAAGTAAATAAGTTACTTACATAAGATCATTAACATAGTCAGAGATCCCTGTAGGGAGGGGCAACAGGCAGAACCCTGGGCCCATACCTGTAGCCAATTAAAAATATAATTTGTATTTTCTCCTGAAATAGCGATGAAGTGTAATTCTCCATGTGGGTTGATGGATGCTGAAGGAAGCTAAACACAAAACGAAGTTTGACATTCATTTTTTATCCCTTGTTGCTATAACATTTGGGTCAAACCTCTTCTCAGCTTTCCATATAGGCATGCTAATAGTTAGGGAGAGTCTGTCTAAAAGTTGGCAGATACTGCTGATTAGCCCTGAATTTACATAATTTTACCACCTTCAAGACTGAAGACACCAGGCTAAAGATATAGCTAAGTGGCACCGTGCCTGCCTGGCAAGCACAAGGTCGTGAGTTTGCTTCCTGGTACCAAAAAAAAAAAAAAAAAAAAAGGACTAAAAACGCCAGGATGGACAATTTCCAGGGGCATTTAACTTCCTGAGAAGTCGCCAGCCATCATCCTCAATCACTTGAGAACAAAACAGTCTCCCAGTCATAAAGCTTCCAGAACAGTGACACCAGGACTGAGATAATGATCAATCAGACCCCCCGCTCATCTGCAAGCCCTTAAAATTTGACCTCCCAGCCTTTTTGGGTGGGTCAGTCATCCCCTGTATCAGAATCAGAATGTGACCCCTCCAACTGCCTAAACTGAATCCTTTCCTTCTAACTCTGCAATTAAAGCTTTGTCCTATAAATTTATGCTTTAGTTTTAATTTCCACTATTACTAAAAGTAAGGACTCAGACAAGCTGACAACAGGCCTGCCAGGCACCCTCCACTCCCCCTCTCCATGGGACGCTGGTGGGTATCAGTAGAGTCTGTTCCCAGTGCTCCAAACCCCAGGAAGGAGTTTGTATACTACCCCCCTGGTCATACAGTACTTTACCAGTTTCCCCCCTTCATGCTATTACTGGTCTCCAGGCTCTCTGGGATTATCTGTATCAATTCACATGCTTTGAGAGATTAGTTTTTTTTTCTTTTTAAGACAGGATCTTACAACACATGGGGGTAGTGGGGACCAGCAGAGACCACCAGGTTTGTGTATGGACAACATGGCATGGATTTATTGTGAATGCCTCTGGGTGCAGGCGCACAGAGAGCGATAAGGCCATCTGCCTTGCACAGAGAAAGATGAGCCTTTTTTATAGGGATGGAGAGAAGGCAGGGGACATTGGGTGGGAAGATGTTAATAAACATCTATGGTCAAAGTTCTCTGGCAATCTTGCTCTTCCATGGGCAAAGTCCTTGACAGTCTGGTGTAAATTTTTAGATATCTCCAGATATCCCCAGATGTCCCCAGATGTCCCAGGAACTGCAAAATTCTTTGACCTATCTTGTCTCCTCCACAACATCCTGTGCTTGCCAATGACAGCTTCAGTACCGAGCTGAGTTCCCTGCATAGAGCAGTGTCTCTGTTGGCAGTAGGTTGGGGTTTGCAGGAGTTAGGTCCAATTTGAACCTAACAGATCGCAGTATGTAGGAGGCTGGCTTCGAACTCACAATGTACCCAGACTGGCATCAAACTCATGGCAATACTCAGCAGTACAAGGGCTGGGATTAAAGGGATACACAACAGTTTTTTAAAACTGTGATTATATATATAACATAAAATGTACAATTTAAGTGATTTTATGTGGATGACTGAGGCTGAAATATTACAAGTTTGAAGCCTACCTGAGCAACTTAGACCCTGGTATAAAAAAAAAAAAAAACATGTGAAGGCTAATAATGCAGCTCAGTGATGGAGTGCTTACCTAGGATGCACACGGTGGCCCAAAACCCAGTTTAATTGGGTTGAGTCCAGACATGAGCCTGAGCATGTAGTGAGGACACTGGAGCTAAAATCTTGGGGTCACCATACTTTTTAAAATTTTGAGACAGTCTTGCTAAATCACTAAGTTGCCTAGACCTGTTTTGAACTTGTACTCCTCCTCTTCCAGCCTCCTGGAGTGCTGAGATTACATGTACATGCCACCACACCTGACTAAAAAAGGGTGTTTTTTTTTTCCAGTGGTACTAGAGATTGAACAGGTTGAAGTCATATATAACACCTCTGGGAAATAAAGCCAGAAACACATCACTGGAAAATGTAACCCAACTAAGATCTTCATATCAACAACAAACACTTTTCACTCTACTTGACCTCAACTCTTAGTATGCACAGAGAGAGAGAAAGAGAGAGAGAGAGAGAGAGAGAGAGAGAGAGAGAGAGGGAGAGAGAGAGAAAGAGAGCGCTCACACACAGAAACATGAAGAAACAAGGCAACAAAAGGCCTCCGAAGACTCCTAACTCTCCTAAAGCAGACCCAAGGGACAGTGATGGAGAGAAAAGTAAACAACTATTAGCTAAGCCATACAAAATGATTAAACAGGAAGCAAAAAAAATAGTGAATTTAAGAGGACATAACCCAACAGATAATGACGCCTTCATACAATCTGACCAATGTGCTTATAGGAGAAACGGATTAAAAATTGGAAGAGCAGACCTAAATGGTTCAAAATATAAACAAGCTTACCAAATAAGCAGACTCCACAAAAAGATACCAAACAGAAATTCCAGAGATAAAGAATTCTGTAGAATTCAAAAGCAGAAAAAATGATAAATGTGAAGGTAGGATTTCAGAAAGGGAGGATAAAATGGAAATACATGATGCTTGCCTCAGAGAAAGCCTAAAGAAAGTGAGAGAGCAAGAAAAATTCACCCAGCAGCTATTAGAGGATGTGAAGAACTCTAACCTGTGGAGGACCACCTCTCTCTGTCTCTGTCTCTCTGTCTCTGTCTCTGTCTCTATTTACATATATATTAAACCCACTGGGATTAGATCAGATTTTTCAACACAAATGAAGTGAAGTGTTTTAAGCTTCCAACCCAGACTAATATATCCTGCAAAACTATATTTCAAAATTAATGGAGAAATAAAGATGGTCCATGGCAAAAAACATCTTAAGACATACATGAACACCAAACCAGTACTCCAAAAAGTACTCAAGAATTCTACCACAGAGCTAACGAAGTTACAAAGTCAGATGGAAAGAATATATCAAGCAAGGCAAGCATTTAAATAAAAAAGTAAAAAATAAATAACCATCAACAGAAAAAAATACAATGACAGGAATATGTCTATATCTTTCAATAATAACTCTCAATAGTATTGGCCTCAGCTCCCTAATTAAAAG